CCATAAGTGCCCTTGCTTCTTAAGCTAGTAGCCAAGACATACGATTTCAGTTAACTATGTAATAAGCTAAAGCTATCTTACAAGACTTTTATTTTGCATGCTTTTGAAGCAGCGAAATAGCCACGACGTGCTGACAAAAACCAAGCACTAGTGGTAATACCAGGAGAAAGCAAATGGCTACTCGACCAACCTTCGATGATATGACCCATATACATCGAACAAGTGTTAGATACTATAATTGGAGGCATGTAACTTAGGATCAAAGCTCCTAGAATAACTGCAGTCAGTGCCGCATAATGCGCGGAGCGTCCGATTTGGGGAGGTCAGTTTGTTCTACACCCTTCGAGAAATGTTCCGTGTTTCTCTGCGTATGAATGTATACGGGGTGCGAGGGGTGGAAATATGAAAAGGTTTAAGGGGCAGATAAGGCGCAATGTGACTGGAAAGGAACCCAGTTTGGTCGAGCAGACTCACTCAGTTTGGGTCACTGAATGGAGCCAGGTGAAGAGTAATCGCCGAAGATCAGCGGCTGTCGGTACCGAAAGTGGGTATATAGGGGGGTTACCAGCCATTTCATGCGTCGTTTCGAGAAGTGTATCATCCATGTAACGTCGTGCTATGTTAAAAATAATGATTTCGGCAGTGTACTGCATTTCATTAGATCAAAATCATTACGATAACCAACAATTAGCGCATGGGTGCACTGCAGTGACAGCAAAAACATGGCGCCAACTGTTCGCGCCATCTTGACAAAAATCTATACTTGGTATTTTCACTCGAGACATGTTACTCGCGTTGCTTTAAATGTTATGCAGTAGTCTCGGTGGTAAATGCAGCGACTAAACCATCGTTAAGCAACTGTTAAAGAGATTGGGACTTACGTAATTTAGGTGGATGGGATTAGTTGAAAGCCAGCTCGTACGCGTGAACGCAATTCTCTGATTTCTCAACCTTTCATTTGGGAATAGTGCTCCAACACAAAGTGCTAAGCTTATTTTGAGAATAATAATGTGTTTTTGCTTATATGGAAATGCACAAACGTATTTTGTGACGATCCCCGTGTGTATGTGCGTCTGTCCGGGCATAATTAACTTAGTACCCAAGCAAGCTCCGACTCCAAAATTTTACCAGTGGGTTCTCCGACAAAAATTGCCACCTCAACACTGCCGTACCAACCCTCACTCAAGTCTGGACCCCGCGTACGAGGGGAGATAGTTTTGGCCGGAAAATCGCTAACTCGGGAACCAGAAAAGCTAAAAAGCTGAAATTCTGAGGTTATGTCCCCTGTCCACATGGAACTCAAAGGTTTCAAATTCAGTCCCCAGTTGTGCGAGGTATCCGCTTATGGCCACGTAAGAGTTTCTTGCGCGAAAATCGCTAACTGAGGAACCAGAAAAGCTGCGAGGCTGAAATTTTTAGGGATGTTCCAAGCGCATGTACAACTTAAAATTATCGGGTTCAGACCCACCACACACGCGTCGTTATCACGACCGGTCCCGTGAAATTTTTTGACAGGGAAGTGACTAACTTGGGAACCGGGAAAGTTGGGGGCTGAAATTTTAAGAGTGTGTTCCCCGCCTCCCATAAAAGATGATGATATCAAATTCAGCCTCAGATACGCGTGGTTCTCATGTCGGACCCATGAAATTTTTTGGCAGGAAAACTGCTAACTCAAGAAAAAGAGAATTTGGAAAGCTGAAATTTTAAGGGAATATTCCCTGTCCAAGCAACGCGTAGACAATTAACCTCCCGAATTTCAAAGACGGCATCTAGCTACTAGATTTCCCAGCGAACTCATTACAGCACGAAATACTGCAAAGAAGCGTGACCGCACGGGTTCGCGTGGTGCGCGTTGCCAGTGATTTTTCTAACTTTCCGACCCGAGGGGGAGTCCTAGATCCCCTGGAAAATGTTTCTGAAACACTTCACGCAGTATGTTTTGACTAACATTTTGACTACCGTCAAAATACAAACAAGCCGGGTAATTAGGAAAGTGAGTAATGCACTGCGCTCAATTACACAAAAGGGCTCACAAAAAGGCCTGATTCTAGCAAGTCTAGGATGCATACAAAAAAGCTAACAATTATTTTTTTGCAAAGAGACAAAGTAGTTTGCGTTTTCGGCAAAAACGCACATTGTGACGACCCCGGCGCGTGTATGTATGTGTGTGCGTCTGCTTGGGTATTTCAGCTCGGCAACCAAGCAGTTTCCGGCGTCAAAATTGCCAGCGAGTTCCCGGGCAAAGTGCCACTCAAGGACCGCGTTGCGAGCCTTCATGCACGCCTAAGCTCAGCGTACGGGCGCGTGAAAGTCTTGACGAGAAAATCGTCAACTCGCGAACCAAAAAAGTTAGAAAGCTGAAATTTTGCAGTTATGTCCCCTGTCCAATAGAACTCATAATTTAGCCCCTCTCCCCCTCTCCCCTCCCTCTGCCCGGTACGTATGGTTCTCACATTGGGCTCCGTAAAGGGGGGGGGGGAAGGGATCGCTACCTCGGGAACCAGGAGAGCTGGGAAACTGAAATTTTAGGGGGATGCTTCCAGCCCGTGCACAACTTAAAGTCATCAAATTCCGTTCCTTGGTGTATGTGATTCTCGTGTGCAGGCTCGTGAATTTTGTGGCGAGAAAATTGTTGACTCGGGAGCTAGAAAAGCTGGGAAACCGAAATTTTGACGGAATGCTTCCTGTCCAAGTACCGTGTAATTGCACAATTAACTTTCCTAACTTCGAGGACAAGTGTGTCACAATTTCTAGCTAATGGGACTCCAAGCGTCTCACTACAGCAGGAAATACTGCAATAATTGGCCAACGCATCGGCTACCAGTGCGAAGTTGCGTTTTTTGCTTAGTTCCCACCAGTTTTCGCCGCTGTTAGCACCGATTTTTTCCGGTAAATGCTTCTAAATAGACAAATTAAGACTAGCCACCAGAACTGTCATGAGAGACCCCCTTAAAATTTCAGCTTTCTAACTTTCCTAGCTCCCGGGTTAGCAACTTACGTGAAAAAAATTTTCACAGGCCCGTACGTGTGCACCACACATATCCGATGTCTGGTTTTGAGCTGTTTAATACCCACTTGGATGGGGAACATCTCCTTAAAATTCCAATCCTCTAGCTTCACGTGTTCCTGGGTTAGCAGTTTACCCGAAGAAAAATTTTGCATGCCCGTACGTGGGTACTACGCATACCCGGCGGCTGGATTTGAGCTCGTTGAGACCTATGTGGACGGGGGATATCCTCTTAAAATTACAGTCTTCCAGCTTTTCATATTCTCGAATTAGCAACTCACCCGTAAAAACTTTGGCGGTCCCTTACGTAAGTACACTCGAGAACTGGGTTTGAGCTTATTGAGACCTTCGTAGACGGGAGACAAACATGAGACATCCCCTTAAAATTTCAGCTTTCTACCTCAGGGCAAAAGCGCCCATTTTGGGGGTTGGGAGTCCGTACGTGCGTGTAGATTAAGTTTCCAAACTTTCAGCCCTGTAGCTTTTATAGGTCCTGAGATGAAAAACCGTGACAGACAGACAGACAGACAGACAGACACACACACACACACACACAAACAAACAACCCCTCGTCAATATGCGTTTTTTGCACTGCACAGATGCGAAAAACGCATAAAAATACATGATCACACAGACCCGCCTGGTGAGCATCGCCAATGATTCTGTCTTCTTTTGGTCAAAGTTTAGTCTCCTGGCTTGACAAAATGCGTCTGAAACCTCATATTTCACTTACGGTATCTAATTTCAGTTTAACGTTCCTCTGGAGTATGTTAAACTGGGTACAACAATGCAAAATGTTGGCCTTATGATTGGTGCCATTGTGGCTGGTAATGCTGCAGATATTTTTGGCCGCAAAAAAGTACGCATTGCTTTCAAAAAGCTATTTTCTGGTTTCCGATAATGCATCCAGCTACCGTTTTATTACCACCAAATTGTATGCTGCCACTACATCTGTCGTAACGCAGTCGTTTTTGCAAAGGAAATGGATAAAGACTTTTTAATCATTCTTCTGGAATCCTTCCACCGATAATCCTTTCCACTGTGATCCCAGCTCACCTGTTAGCACTTTTCCATGCTTTACAGCCGTTGCTCTCAGAAGGCTAGAAGTTAATTGTTCAAAAGTTTCCAGAACATCTGCCTCTGGATACACAGTTATGCGAGAACATTTTGTCAGGCGGCTTAGTTTTGCATTCAGAATCTGCTTTGTACCGTTATTTCAATTTGTATTTTAAGAAGGGAATTTATCTTTTCGCTCTTTGAAATCACAGCTCGATAATTTTGATAAATATTACTGTTTTGTAAAGAGTGG